GACCCCACCAATGGATTCCTCGTTCGGAGAGCAATCCATTGGTGGGGTTACACGTTCGGTTTGAGTCTCATTTAGCGACTCTGGAGCTCAAAACGCGTCTAGAATTTTGGCGCCTCCACCGGTCTTCTGGCTCACTGCGCCGGTGTTCGGCTCACTTCTCAGACCGCCTGGTCAGACACTATGCTCCTTGAGACCACCGGGCAAATCGGCGTGGCCTGACCTGTCGGCTCCGCCAAGCTCCGCCCAGCTTCGCCTGGACGGCTGAGCGCTGTATTTATTTTCGTTTCGGACTGACTGCCCCCTGTCTCGTCGGCACAACCTCGCCGCTCTCGTTTCTCCATTCCATAATGCTGCAATGACATTTCGCAGAGGCCGGACAGCTGTCTGGCTGCCTGCCTGGCTGCCTGGCTGGCTGCCTGGCCGCGAGGCCCGCGACCGCGAGGCTGCCCATGGCCTGCCGAAGGCGCGGGCGACGGTACCAGCCTCGCAGCGCCACCTAGCGGCGCGCTGACGAACCGCCACGGCCGCGTCGCCGCCGTCGTCGCCGCGTCCTCCCCTTCCCTGCCGAGTCGCCGCGTCCCGTCTCGACGGCCACACTGCCACTAGGCTCAGCCAAGTACTTAACGCGTCCCTGGGGCCGGATAAACACGGACCATGTGCTTTCAATTTATTCCGCAGTGTTGCCACATAAGAAGGCCGAAATCCCCGCCATGCATCATGCGTCGAAAGGCTGCCAACCGTTGCAGCAAAGGCACGGAGGCGCGCTGAAATTCCCCCGTCCTCCCGCAATCCTGAGAAGGAGCAAGGGCCCCGCGCAGGTATGCACTCACGCAGACAGGCTGGCGTGGCGGGAAGGCCTACGCACCAGGCGGCGAGCCAGGCGGCGAGCCAGGCGGCATGCACCCGGAAGGAATCTACGTAACGGACCCCGGAAAGCGGCTGCATTATCTTGGACCCCTGTGCAGCCGCACTGCGAGTGCATGCCTGGAGCTGATCCCAGCGCCAGGGCCGGCAGGGCACCACGGCGCCGACACGGGGGCGGGGGGCGGGGGGCGTAGCAAGTCAAAGCAGCTCCGGCGCGGGAAATAACCGCTCGAAGCGTTCAAACAGAACGCGAGTGGGACGCCGAGAAGCATTCGGATTCCCAGCTGTCCAGACCACCGCGTTGTGGAGGAAGTAGGGCCCGGCCCGGCCGCCCGAAGTAATCCCGAATCACGATTTCCGGACAGTGGTGCCCCATGGAGACCATGGAGCGGGCCGGAGAGGGGCCTCGTCTGCGTGCGGCGGTGCGGCGGTGCGGCCGTGCGGGGAACGTTCCGACGTTCCTCCACCAGTGCCGGGCCGGACCGCAAGGGTTCGCTAACAATCCGGGTCGCGGTGCCCCGCGCCGCCCCGCCACGCCGCGCCCCGCCACGCCACGTCCTGCCAGTCAGCCCTAAGGACAAACAGACGGCGCGCTGAGTCGCTAAATTTAAACGCAATTCCCGGCCCTTTGTAACCGCGATGACCTTCGACGTCCCCAGCGCGGAACGATGTATACTATACACCCTGCTGCGGCGCTGCGCTGCGCCTCCAAGGCACTCACAGATACCGCCCTCGTTTTTGTCCGACTCCCAATTGCGACGAGACATTCGTCCCATCCAGCCTGTTGGTCGGTAACGACCTCCGAGAGTCGTTTTCGTCGCTCTGTCTCGCTCGCACTCATGGGGCGTCCTGTATTGGTGCGAGACAGGCAGAGCGACGAAAGGGACTCTCGGAATGAGTCTGCCGAGGGGTAACGCCGCGCAGCCGTGCACCGCACCACCCTCCGCCCGCTGCTGCCCGATGGGTTGCCTACCCGCGCCGCAGGGCCGAGCCGAGTTCCCGCCAGCCAGCCAGCCCGCCATTCAGACAGGCATTCAGTCAGGCAGTCGCACTCCGAAATCTCATCCTTATTCCACGTATCCGTCTTTTCCTCCCCGCCGTCCCGGCCGTCCCCGTGGGGACAGGGACGACGCCGCGCCGTCCCCCTTTCCCCCAGAATTGTATTGTTCATCGCGTCGCGTCGCGTCGCGGGGCCGTCATGTGAGCACATTGTGGGGGGAGGTCGTCTCGTCCTTCGAGATATCGATCGGAAACGGCCCATCCGGACCTTTTCCGGCATTCGAGACGCACGGGCACAGGAGGCCTGAAATAGCGGCGTCTCGCTCGTCCAGGTGGGCGAGTGTGAGCGTGTGAGTGTGCGGGCAAGGAGAAGGGTTTGACAGGCCGTACGTCGTCGGCCAGGCCTGGCCAGGCCGCGCCAGCCGCGCCAGGGGCCAAGGATAGACGGCGATAGCCTTAGCCTTCAAGCGCTTCAAGCTTCAACCGCGCCGTCTAGAATTTGAATCGCCGCGCGCTGCCCCGGAGTACAGCCAGTCGAGTTGTCCTCAGGAAGGACTTGTCGAACAAATTGACGTGCAGGCGGTCGTTGGCCTTGAGCGCAGGGGCGCAGATCTTCACCCCTCCGACCGGCGTTCAAATCCCCGCGCATTTCCAAATTTTGCCCCTTCCGGCAAGAACCCGGCGCGAGACCGCAAATCAAAGACACGTTTCCACACCACCGGACTTCCAAAACCGCCGGTGCGAGAGAGACAGAGCGTTGAATCGCGCCACGACCTCGGGCAGTGGAGTAGAACCCCCGGCTAGACGTGGCAAACGTTGCTTCAGTCCTGCCGCGGGGCGAGGTGGCTAGCCCGCCTGCCGTGGCTTCAGAGATAATTTTAGCGAAGCCAGGAGTCCGCAGGAGTCGCTTCGTCACTCTGTCTCTCTCGCACCCCTTCCGGCGCAACGAGCCGACTCTTCGGCAACAGCCTGAGGTGCGCTGCCCGGCGCTGCACAGTGGGCCAGAAGACCGGTGGAGGCGGCCAAAACTCTAGACGCGTTTTGAGCTCCAGAGTCGCTAAACAGGACTCGAACCGAACGTGTGACCTTACCAATGCATTGCTCTCCGGACGAGGAGTCCATTGGTGGGGGTCACACGTTCGGTTCGAGTCCCATTTAGCGACTCTGGAACTCAAAACGCGTCTAGAATTTTTGCCGCCTCCACCGGTCTTCTGGCCCACTGTGCGCTGCCCGGCGCTGCCGATGCGATGCGTCCGAGGGCCAGTCCGAGGACCACCACGTTCGCTGCCCTCGAGTTGCGTCGCTCTGTCTCTCTCGCACTCGTGGGGCGTCCCGTCAGGGCGCGAGAGAGACAGAGCGACGAAGGGACGTCGGCCGTCGATGTGGGGAAGTAATGGAGCAGAAAGGGCCTTGGAGACGAACAAGAAGGAGCTTGTCGTGGAGGATGGAATGACAACAGTCCTTCCCCCTAGAGAGGGTGGCCCCTAGCCTGTCAGGCAGTGCTTTGATTCGCCCGTTGGCCACAAGCTAACACTTTTCCTTGGGAATTTCGCCGTTAACCAAATATCACACAGGTACTTATTTTTCACAGTGGACTCGCGCGTGGTCCTCTGAGCGATTCGGGCGCCAGGCTACGCCAGGCAAGCAAGGCAAGCCGTGCAAGGTGAGGGTTGCCAGGCGTGCCAACACCGCCAACACAGACAGGTGCCGTCCCGATTCAAGTTCAAAGTACAGCACGTCAAGTCAGCCAAGCCAGCCCTGCTGTGTTCTGAACCGATCCCTTGGATTGCCATTTTCAGGCGATTAGTACGCGTGGCTCCCACTGCAGCCAACCGAGAGAAGAAAAAACAGATAATTAACACTCGATATCGCGGAATAAGTGGCTTTGCGACTCCGCCGAGTTGGAGGAGGACTCTCCTGCTTATCTGCATAGCGTAATATATTATACATTCCCACAATCTTTTTACCTAAGACCCTTTTTGACTTTCTAACTAGAGTTTTTGTGTTTTTTTCTTCACACCCATTGGCACGCGTGTTTGCCACTGGAAGTCCTCGGACAGTGGCGCCGAGGGTTGCGATGGCTTGTCTGCGGAAAAAGACAGAAAAAACATGAGGAAACGGAAAGGACGTGTCCTTGCGGAGATTGCAGCTCATTATGTGAAAAACGACATCTCTCGCATTCTTCTTGAATCAGCGCCACTCCGCCGAGCGATTCACGAGTCGTTTCGCCGCTCCGTCTCTGTCGCACACATGGAGCTCTCCGTAAGGGTGCGAGGGAGACAGAGCGCGACAAACCGCTCTTCTGTATAGCTCGGCTGTTGTCTCTGTCTCGTCCTTATCAAAGTGGACAGTGAACGGGAAGGGAAGCCAAGCCAGCTGGCGTCAGGCCGTCGTCCGCTAGTAGACTGATTCCGAGAGTCGCTTTCGTCGCTTTGTCTCTCTCTCGCACCTATAAGGGACGCCCCATAAGCGTGAGAGAGAGAGAGACAGAGCAACGAAAACGACTCTCGGAATCAGCCTGCAGGCCGTCGTCAGGTTGGCCACGGTCTCGTGACCATCGGTCGCCTTCCTCAGTAAGGGAGCTTACATAAACCATGGGACGGTGTTTTTAGGGGGGGGGGACTTCATTGCTGGTCTAGCCTATCATTTTCACATTGTGACATTTCACGTCAACTTTGATGAGTCGAGGGAAGTCCGGCGCCCTGCTGGCCTGCTGGCAAAAGAAGGACCACACGACTGCAAGTTAACCCTTTTCAGTGACTTTTCATAGTAACAAACGGCATATCAAATGTTCCCGAAAAAAATGGCATCACTACGTTGCCCATTCCTGTTGTTTTTCTGTTGGTGTTTTGCTGATTTATCAAGAGCATCATTGTGTAATCGGGAAATCTTCGCGGACGGGGCAAAAAGTGGTGCACTGCCCGGGAATCGAACCCGGGTCGCAAGAATGGGAATCTTGCATGATACCACTACACCAGCAGTGCTGCTGCTGCGACGCGGCCTTCCCTTGTGTTTTTGAAAGGAGTGGCGGGGTCGGCGCTTCCTGTACGATAAGGCGGTGGCGATGGAGGCTCGTCTCTTCCTCCTTCCTCTCCGTCTGCGCGCCAATCCTGCCACTATGCCCTTCATTCCTTCCCCAGGGGAGTAAACTTTGGAAAACTCGTCTTTTCGATCCTTGAATTCAAGGCGACAGGGCTGCCTGCAAGCCCTGCAAGCCCTGCGGTTGCTTCAGGACTTGCCATGTGTCGTGTCCCTCGCGCGAGAGCGAGAGCGAGGGCAGTCTGCCGTCTGCTTGTGACGTCACGAAGTATCACACAATGCTCAGCTGTGCAAGCAGTAACCGAACAGAGGGTTCCGGGAGAAGATGTATACTGTATCCAAGGGCCCAAGCAAAATCGTTGCTAAGACGCGGAGAGGTAAGGAAACGACACAATTGATTAGAACTCGTAATGCATGATCACGTAGTCCAGAAAGACAAGCTTTACACAACAAGGACTTTGTTCCGCAGGTATCTCACAAAACCTTGAGAGGTTGGATACCCTCCGCGACGCTAGAAAATCCACAGATTCCAAAGAAGACCAGGATTATGTTATAAAGTGAGTGTTTTTTGAAATGCGTCTTGTTAACAGTGTCGTATGAAGTTCATGTTGAAGTGTGCCATTCATCGCCAAATCTAAATTTTGGCAAAATCTTATGTAATTGCACTGCTTGAGGGTGTAAAAGTTGGTGAAAGTTTCTGTTGCAAATCGAGTGCTGCTGTTGTTGTTAAACAATTATTTGAACTTAACTGAGTAGTCTTAGTTTTGTCTTTCCACTTTCTTCCAGTTTATTTCGTTAATTTGCTAGTGACCATAACCTGGCACTATTCGCTTTTCCCTAACCCTATCCGTTTAAATTATTTGCTATGTGGTGTACCCGCACTCCACTTTGTTCTTCAACTGTACTTGCATCTATATTTCAATGGCCACCATATTTTGTTGGTGTCAAATAATTGTTACTTTTCTTATGGGTCCCTAGTGACTATTTGTTTAACACTTAGTTCATGTTGCAGCACTCCGAAACCTGTTTTCCATATGAATGGGAAGAAATCTAACCACAATAGATACCACCAAGAAGTCATAAGTCCACAGCATGAAGAAATAATTAAATTTATTTATGACTGTAAGTCTAGCAGTATTGCATCATTATTTTTGTTGGTACAACATAACAATTTTATAATATATTTCTTGCCCTCAACAGCTTGGACAACAGTATGCAAAGAGTGTGAAGTAGAGCCACAGGAAGACGGACAAAGTTTGTATTTATTTGATATTAAAGTCGATAAATCTGCAAGAGTGTGGAGACAGAAATAATTTTGCCTTTTTTTCTCTAAATAGGCCCTCAGCCACCTTCTCCTGTGTACTACAACGACTGCGAGCCCAGCGAGCTCTTGCAAGGTTTGGAAAATTTCATCAGTATTAACACATAAGTTGTCAGAAAAACAAAAGTTCTTACCTCTTTTTAATTGTTTAGATTTCAAGCCATTTGACCTGGAATCATGGTGGGGCAAGAGATTATTCAACAACATAACAAAATCAATTCCTTGAACCATATGGAGGACACTTTTGGAAGCTGGTGTGCAATTTCATTATCATGGGAGCCAACACAACATGATGATCAAGTGTGGCATGTTTGCCATGCATTAGTGGTTCGTGGAATGCCAATTGAGATGAGTCTTGGTGTATTTGTGGACCAAAAAAATTTTAAATGCAAGAAAAGGCATCTAGAAGAAACACCTTCAAGATTCCTGACCGGATAGTGGACTCGTAGTGAGTTGAGTGTGATTCCTTAGGTTTTGGGTGTCATGTCCAATGATGTCTCTGGCATTTTCTGGCATATTCCATTTATTAAATTTTTTTCTTGATAGGGCCGGTATATTATATGTTACAAACTTGGTTCTGCAGTCATAATCTCATCTGGGATTGTCATGATCCATCAGCAGGATATGCCTGGGAAAGCTGGTCATGTCGTGGAAATGTACCTGATTAGTGAACTTATTAGGAGAGTTTTGTATGGAAACAAGATGATTGATTCATTGATCTGTAAGTTTGCTATTTCCTATTGACGTTGTTATTTTTGTTTCTACAGCTCAATGCGCCCATTTCGTCTACTAAAATTGGGCCTATTAGTAAGAGGTTGACGATTGGATGAAACTGAAGGCCACCTTTTTATGTGAGCTTTTCTTTTTCACCTCGTCCCTAGCAGTAGTCAAAACAGAGTAGTTTAAATGAGTGCTTGTACAACTTCACTGAGTTGTATACAGCATTATGTAGTGAAAGAGAAAACATAACCAACAGCATTGGAATAATCTGTCTTATTCTTTATAAGCAGCTATTTTGTTTTCTTTTTGGAGAGGAAGCCAGTCATGAGAGATGATGTGTCCATCCTTTTGTAGCGGCACCATAATTTTTTGTGTTTGCTTTACAAAGAAATTTTAACCAACTGTTATCGTGTCCATTGTGTTAAATATTGTAATAGGTTTTGCTACATTGTTATGTTTTCTAATTTTTGTACTAGTTAAATATTTTTCTTCAGAGGTTTCATTATTTTATCATTATATCACAGAAATTATTTACTTTTTTGATCTTTTTTTTTCTCCTTTTTTTTCATCTTATCTTCCTGTTCAAATTTGATTCTGCACTTTAAAACGTCTCATGAACTTGCAGCACCAACACACACCATCATCAGTTGTTAAATAAGATTAATGTACTACCAGATTTAACCACATAAAAATTTTATTTCATGATCAATTTTCCTGAAAGTTCCTATATTTTGCTAAGGGTGTGGCTCACATTGTTGAATACAGCAGGTTAGCAATAATGGCACATTTTTATGTTAGGAAATTTCCTGCTGCATTTAAAATTGAACCTCACTTAATTCCTTTTTTCCCCCTCAAGGACCTGTGTGAGAGTGTGTGTGAATAACATGCTGTTACTTCCTGCTATGTTATATTTTTATATTGTATATTTAAGGTGCACAATGATTTGGCATTTTAATAATGTGACAATGATATTCATGTCTGCTCATGATGATGGTGTTTGTTGTAGACTTGATTTTGTATGTGATGTTGAAGGGTCAATGACTTTTGTTGAGAAATATCCGATGTTGGGGTCGGATAGAAAGCTGAAGTATTACCACTCGAAAAGCAATATTCATCATCATTGTTCCAATAATTTTATGTGGTACAAGCTTTCACTTAAATTGTGCTGTTAAATGTCTCTCTTACTTGTTACATTTAATATGCAGGGTTGCCATGTAAGTGGTTAAGAATTCCCTGTGTGCTTTCATGTAGGAGAGATTGTTTACCAGGCAATTTCTTGGCACTGAGGCCAAGAATTTACCTGGTATGTAGGCTAAAATGGCCAAGCCTCATTTCAACATACATCTTGGGAATGCCCACTTTTATCACAACACTTCACAGATGTATGGGGAACACCTGCCTTCTCCCTTCCAATTTTATTTTTGGACCTGGAGCTTGCTTTGGCATTTTGTCATGATAAGCAGTGTTTCTAGATTGAAACTATCTTCCCTCTGTGCACTCTCATCGCTCTATTTAGTGAAACTAACTGGCACTTGTGTCATTTTATTAATCATAAAAATTATCTTTTCTTATGACAGATTTTTAGGTATCTTATCAGAATCTTCATTTAATTAACACTGTTGAACTATTGTAAGGATGGTTCTATGTCCCTTGCCTGACTGTTATTGTGGCAAAGTTGACTGGCTAGTCTGTAATGTTGTTGAATGTCGGTGTACCTTTGACTTTGCGTCATTTGTGCTAGTGAATACATATTTGTTACAGAAACTTGTTGAGTAAAAAGAAAACGGAACAAAAATGAAGAATAAGATGCGTCACACGTTGCCTGTGGTTTTGAATTTACACCCTTTCCCTCACCCTAGTGAAACCGTCAAACACCCGGTTCAGTGTGGTTCAGTGGTTCAGTCTGGTTCAGTCTTCAAAACAACTGGGCGTCAACAATGCTCCTCTTGTTGTCCAACAGTCGCGCCGGTCGGGACTAGACCACTAGACAAGACCCAGGCGCAGACTCACACCGCTGACGACCAGCAGCAAGGGCATCATGGCGTCGGCGTCGCGCGCGCCGTCTCGCGTCACCCTGGCCGGGACGACGGGCACCAGGCCGTCCGTCACCAACGTACGTGCACCTTGGGGGCCTAGTCGACGTGGAGAATGCCCACCCCACGCCCTAAGCGTCCAATCAACGCCTGGCTGCACAGTGGATTTGCCAGAAGACCGGTGGAGGCGGACAAAATTCTAGACACGTTTTGAGCTCCAGAGTCGTTACACAGGACTCGAACCGAACGTGTGACCCAGCCAATGGATTCCTCGCTCGGAGAGCAATCCATTGGTGGGGTCACACGCTCGGTTCGAGTCCCATGTAGCGACTCTGGAGCTCCAAACGCGTCCAGAGTTTTGGCCGCCTCCACCGGTCTTCTGGCGAATCCACTGTGTGCTGGAGCCCAAGGCTCTAGCGCCTGCGAAGGTGCGGGTAGGCAGCCCGCGCTGTCCCCGCGCTCGACGGGCGGGTGTGCTGCTGGTCGCAGGCGGCAGGCGATTGCGATTAACGGCTGGACCACAAGTGATCGTCTGCCTGTCGGGCCCGCCCCGCCATGTAGGCCGAGCCTAGCCGAGCCGAGGCGGGAAAAGAAAGAGATAAGGCGACCAGCAGTCGCTTTCGTCGCTCTGTCTCTCTCGCACTCACGGGGTGTCCCGTCAGGGTGCGATAGAGACAGAGCGACGGAAACAACTCTCGGATTGAGTCCGCAGCACGCGTGGGGCCAGATTGCAACAACGGGTGTCTCGTCATCGTCATTTCATCTCCTCGTTGCCAAGGGCGGAATCAACCTTCAGCCTCCGACTAGCGGCTAGCCGAGTTGGATGGGACTGGGCGCTCCTTGGAAGTTTGCACGGCCTGTGGCATGGCTGTGGCCTGGCTGTTCAGGTGCTGCTGAGCGTGCGGGCCAGCAGGCACCGCCTCATGTCCTTGTCGGCGCGCTCCTCGGCCGTGGGGCTCGGCAACCCCAGCCTGCTCACCCTGCCGCCCGTGCTGCACTCCGCGCAGCCCCAGCCGGACGGCGACGTGTACCTCATCAACGTCATGTATGCCGCCTTTGGTCTGTTTACGCAGACACTGTTGCGGCTCGTGTTAAAAATGTTGGGGTTCCTCTGCCACAGGGGCGCCAAGGGGGCGCTGAATGTGGCCTACACCGCGGACAAGAAGCTGCTGACGGTGGGCGACACGGCGGGCGGCATCCGCGTGTACAAGACGGGCAAGTCGGACGAGCTGTGCTGCCTGTCGCTGCAGCTGGCCGTGCAGGGCAGGAGCCGCAAGCACGCCGACAAGGCCGAGAAGCCCTGGGCCGGCAAGGCGGTGGCCGTCACCTGCCTGCGGCCCTGGCCCATGCAGCCCGCCGAGCCCACGCTGCTGGCGAGCTGTGAGTGCCTGTGAGTGGCGGCGGCCGGTGCCTCACAGCGGGCCAGAAGACCGGTGGAGGCGGACAAAACTCTAGACGCGTTTTGAGCTCCAGAGTCGCTGAATGCGACTCGAACCGAACTTGTGACCCCACCAACGGATTGCTCTCCGAACGAGGAATCCATTGGTGGGGTCACACGTTCGGTTCGAGTTACGCTTAGCGACTCTGGAACTCAAAACGCGTCCAGAGTTTTTGCCGCCCCCACCGGGCTTCTGGGCCACTGTGCCGCGGAGGACGCCCTTCCTTGACGCCGGCCTGCCGTGGCCCGGGCGGGCCACTGGCCCAGACGCGGACGGCAAGGTTCGCCTCTGGGACGTGATGCATGGCGTGGTGAAGGCCGTCGTCACCGAGGACCGCCAGTGCCTGGGCATGGCCGTGGCCCCGGACAGCAGCTGCTTCGTGACGCTGGGTGAGGACGGCGGCGTGCACCTGTACGACGCCGAGACCTTCCAGCTCGTCACCAAGATGGAGCACAGGTGTGGTGGCGGTGGGTGTGGCGCCGAGCTTGTCCCTGTGCGCGTTTTACGGTGGTGTGGCCGTCTGCAGCGGCTTCAGCGACGTGGTGGACGGCCACAAGAGCCGCACCTTCTCCGGCGCCTTCCACCCCCTGGACCCCAACTGCGTGGCCACGGGCGGCTGGGACAACCTCATCCAGTTCTGGGACATCCGCCTCGCCCAGTCCACGCGACACTGCGGCGACGCCCACGTCGGCGGCACCGAGTCCCTGGACTTCTCTGCCAACGGCAACGAGGTAGAAAGACGGGGACGGCTGTGGAAACGGCTGCCTATCCACCAGGCGTCTTGCGCCAAGTCCTCTAAGTCCTTATAGAGAACCGTGTCCGCCACAGCTCATGTCCTGTTCGTGGAGGAACAACGACCAGTTGCAGATCTGGGACTCCGCCTCGGCCACGCTAATTGAAACTTTGCGACCCGACAGGATCAAGTCTTACGTGAGTGCCGAGATGTATTGACTCGAAGAATTTATTCTCTCTTGCAATCGTTTTGTTGTTTTTGTGCCCCAGCTGTACGCGGGACGGTATTTGTCCGAAAATATGCTCTGCTGCGGTGGATCCAACGCCAATTTGTTCAGATTAGTTCACATAGGACAAAAGGTGGTGAGTAATATTTCCAACACAGTGAGTCATATTTTTTTCAAATGTGCTCTCATAGCTTTGTCCTCGTATTCTAGACTGTGGGAACAATCTCTGGACTGGCCCATGGCGTCTTCAGTATAGCTCTCGGACCGATTGGTGCCCAGATTCGGCCAAATCCTTCCCTTAACAATGGCAAAAATCTGCTGCCCCATAACAAATACAAATGTCCTAGAGTGGCAGTCTGTTCTGACAGCAAAGTAATGGAGCTTGAAGTGTACTGAGTTATGTGAAGTATGAAAAGAAATGTTAGTCAGAAAAGTACGCAAGAGGCTTTCATTGGATGTATTAAATTTTATTTGATCACGGAGACTAAACAGTAATAAAAACAACACACATGAAGCAAATAAACAATGTACGTTACAATATTTCATACAATCTATATGGTACAAAATACTTTATGAACAACAGATCTCAAATTTACTCGGCACACCAAGAAACACAGAAGCAGCATAGGATTAATTACAAACTATGGACACAGTACAGAGTTTCAATCTAAATAAGGCTGGCTATGACAGGAAAATAAAGGAAGAAGAAGAAAGTGGTTTCAATGCAGAAAATTGGCAAAATTATTTTTAATAGGGAAATTGAGGGTTCCCTATGACAAATTGTTACTATTACTTAATTTCCACTGAAACAGAATGAAGCTACTCAGCTATAAAATTGCACATCAGGCAAAATAATATCTGTTGTAGATTGTGTAACAAGACTAAAGTAAGGGCCAAAAACTTAGTCTTTATACAAATGAAGAATAGATCTCACAAATTTGAAAAATATAATTTGGAAACTCACACAACTCTGGTTCATACGTTTTAAGATGAGATGCTAAATGAACAGTAACTTACGATATGCAAGTAGTAAATTATCAAGGGTACCTTAGACAAGAAACGCACAGCTGGACTAGAATTTCAGAAACAAATTTAGCTCGGAGAAGCACGTAGCACATCATCCAAAATTATGAGAACATTCACAGAAGCAAAGATGTTGGTTGAGGATTAACCCTTCAGGTGACCATTCAGGTCACCAAACAACCTACTGTGAGAAGACTCAACATTAACTTTACGCTGTAATTTAATTCAACGTTTCTTGTAAGGTATTCTAATTTGATCCGTTTAAAACTTCTACAAAAGATAGCAAAGATCTGATCCTCCAAAGAAAATGACTTTTTATTACTGATAAAAACACATAGCAACTTAAGGTCTGTGGCAGTAAATAGATCAGGACATCATCGAAGGTGAACAACATAAAAATTCATTACTTTAATTGAGTGCAAAGAAGATAACTCAGTAAACAACAACTAAAGTTTACAGATATATTTCTTCATTTGATTTTTAATGTCCCTTTTGTTTTAACAGAGCAAGAACCATTGATTGCATTTTGTCACAAAAGAATAAGGAAAGCAAGTACTCAGAAGACATGTCTATGACATCTTGTCTCAATTGATATCAGAACACTACATGGTTGATTCAGTCTATAATTTTAAGTCAGTAAAATATTTAAACAATAAAACAAAAGTAAAAAGGATGAAGAATTATTGTCAAAAGTCATGGGACAAAGGATAAGATGAGCAAATAATAAAGCAGAACTTAAGTTTCCGGTTCCTGCATCTAACAACTACAATTTCAGTCAAACACCACCCCTGTTCTGAGTTTCAAGCTATGAGGAATGGGGTACAATTAGAACGAACAAATCAATAGTCAGAAATGAACACTGGGTCAATGACAAAGAGAGATACAATCAGACTCAAAATTCTCACTTGTCATTACGTTATTGAAAATCTATTGTGAGTTTACAAATGGCTGAGAGCACCATTGTGTGGTCCTCCAAATTTGCCTTGAAAAGGGTAAACTGATCAAACAATTTGTAGTAAGAATGAAATTAATCTTTGTACTTTGCTTAGCTAAAATGTTTGAAAGCAAAATATTCCATCACTAAGAGAAGAAATGCACCAAAACAAAAGTTGGACAAACACAATGATGCCTTACTTACAACATAATGAGTCAGCAGAAATATATTTACAGGCAACATTCTACCATTCTACTCATATTTAAGCTAGATGATAGAGGTATAATTTACAAACATAAATCTGGGTTCTTCACCAGTTTATGTAAATTTTAAAACTCAAAACAGACAGTAGTAAAATTAAGCTGGAAACATATTTCTGCTGGGAAGCCTTTTTGTGCAAAACAACAAGTTGAAGTTTTACTAAAAAGCACAAAAATTATCATATTCTTTCGGTTAGGTAACAACCTTTAATATGAGTTATAAAAAAATATTTTATTTGGTGACTGTGATGCCGATGGGTCACTCAACCCAAGTATATTCAAATCACAATGCATATAAATAACTAGAGTACACAATAACACAGAAACAAAAGATATCACAATGTTTGCAGGGCCCTCCCCTTCTAAAACTCTGTTCCCCTCATAGAAAATTTTCCTAGTCAGTGCAATAATTTAAAGGAAAAGAAAAACCCAAAACATGCACAAAAGAAGTAGCTCAACTCTCAAAATACTATGCACAAAATGTGAAGTCAAAGGGGTGACACACTGGTACATCTTGTGCTACAGAAGAATTGCCTGATTACCTGATTTTAAAAAATCCAAACAAAGGGGAACTAGAGTTGGGTGCAGAGTAATGCTACTGAATGACAGTTAACTTGAAATGGCACAGACGATTTAGAAAAGAGATCAGTATCTTGGTAAACATTAAATATGAAGTAACAGAAATGCTGTCTACATTGCTCCTGCATAGCACTACTCTGCTCCATACAAGTTCTTGACAATAGGAACTGCACTTTAACACAAGCATATCATCACAACACTTCAAAATAAACACTGTCTATTCCACTTTGCCAGAAGCACACTTGGCACAAATGGAAGCCAAAATGTTTACTGTTTAGCCATAAGTCAATACAAGAATAAAAAAAATCTGGCTCAAAGTAAAGTTGCACTTTTTAAAGTGCATTATTTTAAAGAAGTCACAAATTCAGTTAGAGGTCTATGGTTCAATGCTCTTCAATGAGTCAGAACACTACAGAAACTGAAACATGTATGTATTATGCTAGCATAACAATAAGAAAATCAAATCACATTGTATTGTACACAGGATTCGTGTGTCGAGGAACCTTGCTCATTGACGTTAACCTGGCCAGAGGATGGGTCTTGCCCTGCTGTTGCTTTTTATTGTTTGCCACAGCCATCACACTTGCAACAACTACACTTGGGCTAGGAATACTAGATATGGCTTTGTTGGGAGGGGGACAACCAACTCGGAGCCCACCTCCAGCTTTAACACCATTTCTTAAATTTAGATGATTTACTAACACAGAATTATGCCGTAATGACGAAGTGTTGTTTTGCACATCGAAACTGGACTTTCGAGGTGGGATGGGAGGTTGTGATGCTTTCCGTGGAACTTCATTCTCAGAGACAATCCTAGTTCTTTTTGATGGCGCAGGTTCTACCGCTTTTGCGATTTCGTACTTCCCTACGAGTACTTTAACAGATAGGTCCTCTGCTGATGAAGAAGGACTGGGGAGAGGGCTGCCTGTAGCAGGCTGAGGTTCACGATCAGGATGTACACTAACAGGTGATGAAGGTAAACTGCGGACCCTCTCGGTGGATGCTCCAACAGTTTGGCTGTCTTTAGTCACTGGACCAGATACTGCACCTGACTTGACTTCAAATTCTTTTGTGAGATTCTTAACCTTACCAGGGAGTTCCGAAACAGAGTCATTCATTGGTGCATTAAACCTCATTCCAGGAACTAAAGAAAGTGAAGTTGCGGCAGGAGCACTAACAGACAGGACAGATTCCACATCGGACGAAGTTCTACTGGGATGATAAAGTGTCATGTTCGGTTGTGACACTGCTATCTTGTCAGTTGGTGGTGAACCGAGAAGACCCAATAACACATCATTCTCACCTGCACTGTGAGAGGATAATGTAGGAGAACTAGCATAATGAACTATTTTCGTTTCTGGAGGGGACTTCGAGCTGGCACTTTTGGAGGTGGCTGAAGGTGCAAGGTAGGGTCGAGGTGTGTGCAGTCGAAGAGAGGCAGATGTTGAGGACAAAGAAGTAGAAGTGGGAGTTTCGTTGTCTTCCTTCCCTTCCTCAATTTTGTGTCGAGTCCGTCTAACTGAGCCTGGATGCCATCCGTCTTCTTTGTCTTGTTGAGGAGCAGAAGGGCGAATGTCATAAGAGCCCCAAGAGCTGTTTCGGGAAGGGAGTGTGCCCCATCGAGTATCACCAGAGCCCCATGAGCTCTGCCTCGATGGAGCCTCCCTAAGCACTACCGCACTGTCGTACGAGCTCCAAGAACTTTGCCTGGAGGGGCAATCTCTTTGTGTCAAAACGTCTGCATTGCCTTCGGCACAGTTGGGTGTCACTGAAACCTTCCGTTTCTGTTCCTCTTTTTCAAACACAAGATCAAGCTGGTTCGAAAATGGATCTTCAGGCTTCTTCAGGTTGGAGATTTTCTCTGGCTCACTCTCCAAATTTGTCTTTTCTGACGAGACTTCATGAGTTTTCACTAATTCTTCGGATTTTGGTTCCAACCCCTCTGCAAGTGGCTGCGAAGTCGCTTCCACAGCATCAGAGTCAAGCAGAGAAGTAAGGTTGAGAACGAGCCCTGTTCTTGCAGCTGACTCCAGTTGTGTCACTCTTTGTTTCACAATAAGAGCGGGACTAGATGTTGCTGAAGCAGGACTTGAACCCGGAAGATGTACCACTTTGTTTTGAGATACACTGTACATAAGTCCATTGCTACAAGGCATTCTCTCATTTCTGTTGTAATTGCGAGTAACTGGTTGTTCTCCTAAACTTTGATGCCCTCGAGTGGTTGATATGCTTGATGTTGTACTGGATTGATCACAAGTGCTGTCTCGCTCAGGTGAATTAGTTGTATTCCCATCTGAGTTGAGGTGTTCTAGAGAGACTGAAGTAGGGCCTGGAATGAATACACCGCATTGGTTAGATCATTATGCACAAAAGCTAGACACCCACCACAAATTTACCGATTAAAGGAGAAACATTTACCTGCAGGAGGCCGTGGACTAAAGAGAGTTGAGACTAGTGTGTTGTCAGGGGACCAAGACTTCGGCCTACCCCCACAGCTGGCCAATTCCTTTCCTGACGGTTCTGCAGCCATTATGCCTGGTACAGCAATGGGCTCGGATTGTCTAGGGGCTGCATCACCAATGTTCGCAGTGGGCTCACTTGTGCTCATAGCGCTTGCAGCAGAAGGACCAGTCCTTCGGAGCTGATTTGTTGGCCCAGAAGACGTAGCCTCTGCCTTTGCGACAAGGCCTGGAGACTTAAGGTTTGTCTCTGACTTTGATCTTTGTAGCTTCTCCTTATTTTTCATTGCATCTAATATTCCCTGAAAAAGCAAACAAACATGGTTTTACTTAGCAAACATAAAGCTGGATCATTAAGGAACAACCCTAAAGAACAACTATACACACCTGATAGGTTTCTAACTGTGAGATAAAACTGGTATTCGGTTTTATACATGTCCGTTTTTGTCGGACAAACTCAAAAGCTTTCTTGAAATCCCAGTTGTACGCTTTCATAGCATAAGCGATAACAACAGATGCCGACCGGCTTACACCCATCTTGCAGTGGACTAGAACTTTAGAGCCTTCTTTCCTAAAATGCAAAATAAATTAAAAAAACATTAATAAATAGGTTTGTGACAAATGTTGCTTGTTGCTTCTTACAAGGACTGATGGCTTTAAGACTAACCTGGCCCTGGTGATGTACTTGAACGTATTATCCCAATGTTTTAACAAGTCAGTCTTCTCATCATCTAAAACTCTGACATTTAAATAGTTAAACATCCCAGGAAAAAAGTTATCAATTTCCCTAGTGACATTTAAAATGTGATTTACGCTAGAGGGAAAGAGAAAAAAAAAATCAATACATCAATCAATACATAGCTACAGAAATAAAACAAGAAAAAATTCAATTACAAAATTGCATACCCATTCTTTTGAAGTTCCTCTAGGTTAGATGCATTCCATTCAGAGCCTAAGTAAACATGATCAAAGATCTCTGTGGCTGCATCCATTTGGCCCAAAATTGTCAGCATCTCGTGGTCAATGAAGGACTTGTATTCTGCGAGATCCATGTCAAGCTGATCTTCTAGGCGGCCTCGTATATACTTGGATGTGACTTCATCCAGGTCAACAGACATCATGATTTCCTTGAGAGTGCAACGAATCACCATTTCTGTTTCTTCGCGCTCCCTGGGTCTAAAAGTCATTAAAAAGAAGAAACAAATTAAATAAAATCCCAAAGAGCGTATTGGAATTTTTTTTATTTTTTTTTTAATTGCAGAAATTAAAACTTACTTGCTGCGGACTGAGTCAGGACTTGGTGGCCTCCGAGACTCAATGTTGTCCATAGCATGCCATTCATTGAGACAGGAGCGATCACTCTCAATGCGGTTTTCATAATACTCTACCCAATCATGTGTAACGCCACCTAAGAAGAAATTGTGCTCCCTCGCCTTGGAGCTCACTTTATGAAGCGTTTGTAACGCAGACCTGTAACAAAGGACGAAATTATTTCATTACGATTCAGTTCTTGACGAAACCTTGGCCCTCTTCCTAGGCTTTCTTACTCACCACATGGCCTGCACGGACACAGGCTTGAAGATGTGCTGCCGGCCGCAAACACTGACGCTAAACCCACTGCAAACCAGAAGCTCCAGGTTACAGTCAAATAGTACAAAAAAGTGGATTTTTTTTTTCTAAAAATTTTAAATTAATATCAGTACTGACCCGTCGCCGTCCAGGGTGATGGCCGTGTCGGCCAGCACTCGCAGTACCAGCCCCACGGTGGAGGCCTTGTCGGAGGCCTGGTTGCCGCTGCAGTCGATGCCCAGCAGACAGGACTCCTCGTGGTGCGTGCGGCCCTCGCGCGACACCACCACCAGGTACCGGGTGCGGCCCGCGTGCGCGCTCTCCAGCTTCACCGCCTGCACAAACAAACCAAACAGTCCGGGTTCAAACACTCACACTTTTCCCATTTTTTTTTTCGGGGTAGGGGGCGGCTAGTGTGACCGACCGACCGCTTGCTTGCGTTCCACTTCACGTTCGCCTGGTCAATCAAGTGGAGTGCCCGGCGCGGCGCTACGCCACGCTACGCCAATATTCACCTTTCACTTTCAACAGGGGCGAATGAGAAGGGAGCAAGAAGCAGGGCCCATCGAGGCGTCGCGACGTCGCGGCGCGCGGTTCAGTAGTTCACTGTTCCGTCGCGACGCAACGCCCCTCGGTGGGCCAGAAGACCGGTGGAGGCGGCAAAAATTCTAGACGCGTTTTGAGCTCCAGAGTCGCTAAATGGGCCTCGAACCGAACGTGTGACCCCACCAATGGATTGCTCTCCGAACGAGGAATCCATTGTTGGGGTCACACGTTCGGTTCGAGTTCTCTTTCGCGACTCTGGAGCTTAAAACGCGTCTAGGATTTTGGCCGCCTCCGCCTGTCTTCTGGCCCACTGTGCGCCCACCGCGACACCTTTAGCCGCGCCGCCGATGGCCGTGCCGGCCGTGCCGCGCCAGGAAGTCAGTCCCGCAGGACGAGAAATCGTCGCGCTTTGCTTGGGCCGTTTGGCGACAGCGCGGCAGTCAAGACCAACACCAAGACCGATTCGGCCGGAACAAAGAAGGTCCGGGTGCAGCGCGCAGCGCAGCACCGCGTAGCGCCCACACTTTCAGCGGGGGCGTCCATTAACTACGTAGTAGGACCGGAAAGGTTCGCCTCCCGGGAAAAAAGGGGGGGTAGAGGGGATTGGCCCCGAGTGCAGGGGGAAGTGGGTGAGTGTAGATAGAACTGAGGGCGAATTTAAATAAAAGGCGTCATCTGCGTCAACTTATATGTTAAGAAATTGTTTTTCTAAATAGCAAACTTTTTTGAATCCATAAAAAAAAAAAAACCAAGAGGACAAGCCGGACCTCTGTGGGCTGGGATGCGGGATGTCGGCCGGGGCCACCCACGCTGGGCTGGCTAAGCTGCGGGCAAAAAAGCGCGGGACGGGGCACATTACACCGGCAATAAGCACGGGCCGTGCCGGGCCACACTGACTGGCACACTGCAACACCGTGCACGGCGGCGAGTACGGCAGTAAGGCCAGCGATGTGGAAACGGAACGGTGTCTCTCTGCTCGCCAAACTCGGCGGTCTAGTCCGACTTGCGGCAACGCGTCAGCGCGTCAGGCGGCGGCAAATGCAGCAACCAACGTGTACCACGTAAACGCGTCCAAGCTCAAAAACCATGACGACACCAGAATAAAACGGTGTCCCTTACATCTACCTCAGCCAAAACAAAACAAAAAGTTGGTGCAATCAAGCGCCAACGTCTACTTTCGAAAAGGTAATCATGCATCACTGGAGGACCCGGGGGGAGGGAGCAGAGAAGGGAAAAAGGAGGGGGGGGGTAATTTTCGCGCGCCAAGGCACTCGATGTGACGACGGCGCCAAGGCGGGGCACGGCACGGCGAGCAAAAAAAGGGGCGGGCGGCGATATTTTTGATTGAGGCAGGTAACGACCGTGGCACCATCAGCCAGCCAGCCAGGCAGGCAGGCAGCCCGCTGCAACGCAGTTCGCAGTGTAGTGGTTACAAGTACGTAGTACGCGCTACGCATGCTACGCAGTGCGACTCGAGCCATCCGGCCATCAAGCCCCAAGCCGTGGCAATTTGAAGCCGCAGCAAATGACCCGGGCGATTCGCTAGCGAGCTCGGCCGCTCCTCCACTGGTGCCCGTCTCTGGTTCCCGCCCACAGGTACACACAAACACACCACACTGCGGGGGTGCGACCGAGCGAGATGACACTCGCGCCGTCGCGTTTCAATTTATCGGTGCGGTGGCCACTGCGCTGCCGCCGAGACTGCGTGGGGACACGGTGGACACTTTCGACGCGGACTGTACGCCACGCCGTGTGCCAATCCGTCAGCCAGTGCATGCCACTCTGCCACTCCAGCGGCAAATGAGAGGGAAAGGCAAGATGCTGAGGCCGAGGGCCGCAGGGCCGGAGGGCAGCAAAGCCGGAGCTCTTGTACCTACGTACACCTCCAGTACCCTCCCCTCACACTGTCTGTCTCTCTCTCTTTCTCCCTCTCTCCCTCCCCCCCCCTCTCTCTTACTCACCAACCTAAAAGTGTCATTACCTGTGTGCGCCTCACAAAGGAGCAGCACAGCAGCACCACTGTTCTAGACAGGTTGAAGAGGAAGGGGAAGGGGGGGGGGGAGGTAACCGAGGGGGAGAGATTGAATAAGGGTCGCCTGGCTGATTCCGAACTCACCGCGTCTCTCTCGCACTCCGGGGCGTCCTGCAGTAGTGCGAGAGAGAGAGAGAGAGAGAGAGAGAGAGAGAGAGAGAGAGAGAGAGAGAGAGAGAGAGAGAGAGAGAGAGAGAGAGAGAGAGGGGGGGGGAGACGGAGCGTCCCCGCCGAATGCGAGCGCGATACACACTAGATGCGATCACCCTCCGGACCCTCCGGACCCTCCGGGCAGGGCAGCGCGTCCCGCGTGCATGCCGTTGCCTTTGTCGTACAATGTCGGCCGCGACAGTGCCGCGCCGCCATTCCCACCGTACAGTCCGCGCCAAGAGCAGAGCGCCGAAAGGCCGAAACCGCGCGCGGTCCGGCCCACTAGGCCCCACTAGGCCGGTCGAACCGAGGCGCGGGCGCACGCGGCCATGCGGGCCACGGCTATAAGGGCTGCCTTCTGCTGACCCCGCTTTAATAATAAATGCAAGCACGCCCCCGCCCCCCGTAGGGCCTTGGAACGGCCGCTCGGCCAGCCAGTCCTTGGGGCGCAGTGGCGCCAGGCCGACGCCACGCCGACGCCAGGCCGACGCCACGCCGACGCCAGGCCGCTCGTAGAATCGGGTGACATCGGCTGACATCGCCCGGCATCGCCCAGTCCGGCGCTCTCCGGCGGGGCCGCGACGCCCGGCTCGCAGTAGCGCCCCGGAAAAACACGACCGAATCAATACCAGTGTGCACGCGCGGTTCGGTTCAAACACCGCGCGCACGCAGGGGGGGGGGGGGCGCCGCGGCGTCCTCTTTCTCTTTAGTGCAAAACGACGCGGCACGACGTTTGCTGCTGTTTGTTTCCGTGTGGATGGATGGATGGATGCTCTCGTGCCAGCTTGCCAGCTTCGAGTCTCCCGCCCTGCCGATAACACCACGGCGGCCAATCAATGGACGGCACGGCACGGCCCTTCGCGGCGCATGCATGCCTGTCACGCTGTGTGTCTAGCAGTCTAGCGCGCCTCGCTTCATTCGGGTATCGCGCCTTCCTGGGCGCTGCCGCGCTGCTCTAATCAAAGGGGCCAGACAAGCAGGCAGCCCGCCGCTAGACCCGCCGCCAGGCCGGCAGGACGGGCAAGCAGACAGACGGGCAGACAGATTTATCAGCGAAACGGACGGACGGACGGACAGACAGACGGGCAAACTGACAGGCATAGGGAACGGCAGTATAGACAGGTCGACGGGCAAACGGGGTGACAGTGACAACCATACGAAGAGACAGTGGGACGAGACAGACAGACAGACAGCATTAGATGGCCAGACGAAAAGCAGGCAGTGACAGTCCGATAGGCGTAGGCAGGCGTGTTGTTTCGTTCCGTTCCCAGGGAAATCCACGCCCCTCTCCCCGAGCGCCGAGCACTGAGCCCCGCTCGACGCGGACAACGTGGACGACGCGGACACTGCACCTCACTCACTACGGGGGCCAGTCGCTCCTTGGGCGCGTCGCGCGCGTCGTCGGGCACGTCGTGGTGGCGCAGCACGTCCTCCAGGATGGCGCGGAGCGCGCGGCCCGACGGCGGCCGCCGCCAGCGCGGTCCCTCCTTCGGGGCGCTGAACATGACGACCATGGTGGCGAACGCACGCGCCGATTCAAAACCACATCTCTGGCACACGCACACACTCACGCACGCCGGACACAGGCGCAGCACACGCGCACCGCGACGCTCCCTCCGCACGGGAGCCCGCCCGCCACAACACTGCGTTGTTCTCGTTCGCCGCGCTCCGCGCTCCGCGTCCGCGGCGGCGTGGTGCGGCGCGACCCCCACCCCCACCCCGCGGCACCCTCCCCCTCCCCCTCCCCCTCCGCCGCGACGCCGCGGCGACACCGACGAGGCGCCCCAACAAGGTGCGAGCCGAACGAACCGAAGCGAAGCGCCACGCTTATCTTGCAGCCGGACCAGACGAGCACGCCGACGATGACGACGCCGACGACGACGCGCGCGTGTGTCGTGCGCACTCGAGCGCGTGTCTGTGCGTGTGCGCACGCGTCAGGTGTACCGTCCGGTCCGCCTCGTCCGCGTTGATTCATTTGGGCGGCGAGTCACACAAAAGCATCCCCTCTCTCTGTCTCTCTCGCGCAACGCGGCCGCGCGGGGTGTGATTCATCCACCTATATCTTTCCCCTGCGCGCACAGCGCACAGCGCAGCCTAGTACTGGTGGCGCCACACACGACGCAAGCGGCAGCCTCCCGTAGTACAACACGTGCGCGAAAAAGACAACAACATTGATAAAAATAAAAGGCCGCCTCGGGGCGGCAAGGCGGCGGCGGGAGCGAGAGGGAAGACAAGCGCGTTCCGAATCCGAACATGGCCGGCCATGAGCCGTGCCGCCGACGGCGCTGCCCGCTGCAGTAACCAATCGGGATCGATCCCGATACTCGCCTCGGCTCCAGCTTCGCCAGCTTCGGACACTTGTCCTCCTTCTTCTCGCTCTCGTCTCGCCTAGCCCCGGCCCGGCCCCGGCCCGGCCCCGGCCGCTCCAGCCTCCGGTCACTGCACGCATCAAGGGCGTCCGCCGCTCGGCCGAACGCAGCGCCTTCTCTCTCTCTCTCTCTCTCTCTCTCTCTCTCTCTCTCTCTCTCTCTCTCTCTCTCTCTCTCTCTCACTCGCGGCCGGCGTCGTGCAGGGTGCGAGCGAGACAGAGCGACGAAAGCACTGTTC